CCCTCCAATCGCCCTACAGCTACGGCTACAACGACGTGATCACCATCCCGGCGGGCGCCACGCACCTCCTGGTCCGGCAGGGCTCCCCGCACGGCGCCCACGGCGACAACGTCTACCTGGCGCTGCGGAAGCCCTCCGGCCAAGCTCTGCTCAACGGCGGCTTCGTCCTGGTGCCATCAGAGCACACGGTGACGCTGCCGGGCGCTGCGACGCTGCGCTACAGCGGTGCCACGGCCGTCCCCGAGGTGCTGGCGGGCCGGGGGCCGCTGCTGGAGCCGCTGGTGCTGCAGGCTTTGGTGGTGGACGAGAAGCGCCCGCCCCGATTGAAATACAGCTTCTTCGTCCCCCGAAAAGCGGCAGCGGCGGCGTGGGAGAGACAGAAGGCGGAGATTCTGGAGATCCTGCGGCGGCGCCGGGCGTAGCCGCGGGTTTATTGGGTTCGTCGTGTCTACCTCAGCCCCTGCCGGGGGTCTCGGCCCTGGGCTGGCCTCGGGGCGCCCCCACAACCCCCCCTCTGTGCGCCTCCTGGGGGGCGGGGGGTTATTTAAAGCTATTTATGGAGCTCCGCTCTCTGCTCTGGGGTCATTGCGCTCCCCCTGTGCACAGTGGGGCTGAGCTGATCGCTGATCCCCCCCACGGCACCACCAACACCGGGTGCAGAGGGGTTGGTTGGGTGCCCCCCCCCCTCCTTGGTGCCACGCAGCGTCACGAATCGGGGCCATCCCTGAACCTCTGTGGGGTGTTGGGGTGCCTGGACTTGGGGGGTGGGACCCCCTGGACCCCTATGGGGCACCTGATCTATGGGGCAGGACCCCCTGAGCACGGACCCACGGATGCCCCAGCACCTCTAGGAGGTGGCCAAACTTTGGGGTGTGACTTCCTGATCGTAGAGACCCCCCCCAGCACCTCTATGGGGCGCCCAATCTTTGGGGCCGGACCCCCCGAACACAGAGCTGGGCTCTCAGAACCTCTCCTGGGTACCCAAACTTTGGGGCATCAGCACCCCCTGGGCACCAACGCCCCCCATCCCCCAGCCATTCCATGGGGCTCAGACGTCGCCGTGGGGCAGGAGGCTGTATGTGGGGCGGGACGGGGCGCTGCAGGGGCAGAGCCAGCTGAGCACACAGCCTGCCCCAAACACCTCCTGCAGCGCTGCTGCCCACGCTCGTCCCCCACACGCCTCCTTCGAGCCCCGCTTGTGGGGCTGCTCCGTGAGGATGGACACCACCTATGGGGTTGGGGACACAGACGTCACCGCCTGCCCCACTGCCGCCCGCCCGCCCCACACCTCCACACTGACCTGATCATAAAACACAACGGTGACAAAAACGCCAAAGAGGAGGGACTCCAGCAGCAGCACGATGCAGTGAGTGCTGTGGGACAGCAGTGGGGCTGAGGGCCGATGTGGGGCGGCCCCCGGTGCCCCACATTGCCCCACACTCACGTCTGGATGCGGTTTTCGGCGCCGTCTCCTCCTGATGGCCCCAACCACGCAGCCAACACCAACCCCGCCGCGTAGGCGCTGGTCAGGCCTGGTGTGGGGCGAGCAGTGAACCCACAGCTGTAGGGCTGAGCCCTGAGCTCTGGGGCCGAGCCCCACATCCCACAACTTACCCGTGTAAAAGAGGAACTGGATGAAGTATTTCTGGTTCAGTTCCCCGATGCAGTTATTTATCCTGCAGACAAACGGGGCTGAGGACACCTCCGCGTCTGCTGTCCCCATCCTTTGGGGTCTGGGGGTGTCCTAATGAGGGGGGGGACGCCCAGACACCCACCAGGGGCAGTGGTGGTCCATGCGGCGCACGCAGCGGTGGCACACGCGGCAGTGCTGGGCACGGGGAGGCCGATACGCCTCACAGCGACTGCACAGCGTCCACTCATCCGAGTCCTGGGGGGGGG